CTTTTGCAATATCTGTGCCAGATTCAGCCTTACAGTGTAGGTGAGCAAGCTCAGTGTGGACCCGCTTGGTGGACTACCAGAAAAGAAAGGATATTTACCCTGAGGTCAGGACTGGGGTGGATGAAGAGGGAAAACCAAGGTGCACCGGAACTTCATTTGAGAATGATACTCTGCCTCCCTGGCAGTCAAGATTCCTAATGCATTTTGGGCTTGCATCTGTTAAAAAAAAATAAAATAAAATAAAAAATGAGGGGGGTGTGTGGAGGGGGCAGAGGTAACAAAGCAAAAAGTGACTGACCTTCTAACAGTCAACTAAGTATTTCCTAAAGCTGCCTAGTAGGGTGATGTGTACATGACCAATGTGCAATTTCATGTGCAGTCATTCACTATTTCTTACTACAAAACAACAACAAAAAATTGATGGTGCTCGCAGTTTGTAATGGCACAGCTTTACATTGGAGATCATTAGATTCTCTGCCACTTTGGAATTCCCATGTGCTGTTCGTATGTTGTTCACTTTCTGATTTGAGCTGTGTCCCTTGGAAAAGGTCATGTCTGCAGTGCTTTTGGAAATTATATTTATTTTCGACAAGTGTTCAGCTTCAAAACAGCTTAGGTACTTGCATCAGACTCTTTATGTTCAGGGCAAAATAGCCTCAAAAATAGAATCTAGGGATATGGAGTAGCTGGAGTATGAGTTTGTGGTTTTGTTACTTGCGGTTTTAACGGAAACATGTTGTAGTTTTTCATTAGCTGTTATTTACTTCAAGATACCATGAAATTGCCCTTCTTCTCACCACTCTAGCAGATAGCTGTCTGGCATTTTTAAACCACTCTGCTAAATTAGTTAGCTTTTAAAAGGAATTTATGCCTCTTTGTTATAGCGGGGTATTAACCTAGTGTCTGTAGCATTGACTAATTTTGATTAATTTATCACTACAGTGACCTTCTATTGCATGCTTTCTGTATTTTGAAGAAGAGGGACTGCAGTATTCACTGGGCAATATTTTCACTAGAGGAAAAACTTACGTTATTATTTAGTCAACTCCTAGAAAGGATTAGGTAGTTTCCAAATGTCCTAGCAAGTTCACATGAACAGTAGGCTCTTTCTGAGTCTTTCTACTGGAAAGTATCATCAGTGTGTTCCCAGGGATTTTTGTACATCAGTTACGTGTGGTGAACACCAAAATATCCTGCCCTCCGTCCATGGCACAGACATACTTTGAGTGATTTCTCAGGGATGCCCAGGTGGAGGAGGGAGCTGAGCTTGTGCACCAAAAATACCAGTGTTACCATGTCATGTATGCCTGAGGTAGAGGTTGTATCTGGCTGGCTTAACATTAAAAAGCCACAGGCTGGCTGCTCTTGCAGACTATCTGTCATTTCAGCCTTTTCAATACATGAGAAGGTGTGTGTGTGTGTCTTCTCCATGAACATTTAATCTCTGAGACAGACTTATGTTTACAATTGCTCAGTACTGCAAGGCATCTGAGCATGCAGCCGATTTACCGAGGCATCATTCTGCTCCTGAGCCCCTGCTCCTGGCATTCCTAATTTACCTGTTTGGTTTTTAAATCGAGAAAGAGCATGATACCTGCCAGCAAAGGGAGGCAGAACAAGATGAGATTTTTCCAAAGCAAAGCAAGGCTGGTTGGGACTTGGCCCAGGCAGAAATTTGAGCTTGGTCTCATCTGTGCCGAGACTTTCTTTCTGCCTTGCCTTTACCAGCAGGGTTCAGATCTCTGCTTCTAGACTTGGAAAGGTAGAGTTCTTGAACAAAAACTGCCTTGCACTGGGCATTATTGTCGTAACATCTGCCCAGATGATAAGTTCGCAGCAACTTGGGAATGATCAGAAACAGTTGTTACGGTGGGTGCAGCACATCTTCACTGAGTACATCACTGTTTTTCCAGGGAAGAGAGATTTTATTTGCACTGCTGTGTAACACATGCTGCCTGATATGATAATGATGGGTTGGGATTTTTTCAGTTTTCTTTCGGATGTCATCTTTGGCTCTGCATTACCAGTCTTTGTCTCGTTTCTTTCTTTGAAGTGAAGAGGTTGTAGTTTGAGTTCAGTTCAGAAGGTTGTTGCTCTCATACTATTGTCTTGCAGTGAAAACAATTTTAACTTAATTGGTTAAAATTGCCTTTCCAGTGGTCATATGTTGGACAGCTTCAAAATGTTGCATTAGTAGATCTAGACACTTAATTTGAGCAGTGATGATACACATCAGGCAAGGTGGCAGATGAGCCGGTGAGCCCTGTCTCTATGCATCAGTGAATTTCTTTTTGAAGCAGATAATTGCAAGGATTTTAAACAAAGAATGTAATCTTTAACCTTTGACAGATTTTTTTTATCTCCACCAAAAGTTAATGCCACTGCACTTATGCTGTGGTCCAGTATTGTCACTTTTCTGTTAAGCAGTAGGTCTTCTTGAGCTGCTTGATATTACCTAATCCTAATTTAAATCCAAGCAATATTGTACTCTGAAGCTGGCTTCCATCTTCCGCTTTCCATCTTTTCTTTATAAGACATCAATGTTAATATGTAAAAACTGGACATCTACAGCTATTTCACTCTGTTAATTAAATTGTGAAAACCTTAAAAGGTAAGCTTAGTACGTCACTGTTAAAGCCCACTGATGTCTTACAAAGATATTGCACTCTCTTAATATGGAGGTCTAGCAATATATTACTTGCATGCAGCAGTAGCTCTAATTGGAAACCTAACAGGATGCAAGAGATTTCTAAGACTATTACAAATAATACTATATTATTTTTTAAGTCCGTGGGATTTTTTTATTGACAGTCCTTTGGGTTGAAGCTGGAAGTAAAATGCAAAATGTTGAAATATTTCTTGTTGGTTCAGAGGGCTGTATTCAGTGCTAATCACACATCACATTTCTTGAGTGCTGAAGTGCTCCCAGTGGGCAGTTTTCATGATATAAATTCCAACAGTAAATCGGTGCTAACAAAGCTCAAGTACCTGTTCCGTTCAGTAGCTCCACCTTTAGGGGAGGGAGGGGAGGATGATCGCCAGTGCAACTTGCAGTAATGACAGTGTGTCAGTAGGTTGCTAATACGTACATAAAGAGGTGATTCCTTGGAGTGGTGGCTAAGGGTGCCCCAGAGTCCTTTTCAGTGAGTTTGCACAGTTAAGCGGGTGTCTTTCAAGAGGCAGAGCTTTCTGTTGAAACAGAGCACTCTTCCAATCTAATGCACAAGTGGTAGCTGGAGAGTACTGAATGCCCAAATATATAGACCTGCACAGGACAGGGACAAGTCATTAAGGTGGAGCGGGATGCCAGGAGCATTCAGGATGGAATGGCTTTTACTTTAATTTAGTACCGATCTTGAGCTGCACGGGGTTTTGTATTCTGAGGAGAGAAATCTTTCCCTAGGGGCTGGTGTGTCTCTTTGCAGAGAGCCTGTCTCCCTTTACTGCTTTCGGATACGCTTTCCTTCCCCTGGAAGTATGCTTTTAGTCATAGCTTCACCACCGTTGAACTATTTAGCACCAACATATTGTGAACTTTTATTTTTAGCTTAATCTGAAAATTAAAATTTTAGGTTTGATAACAGAATTAACTCCCTTTCTCTCCCCTGATTCCCCTGCTGTCAAGAGCATGTTCACCAGTACTGCAAAGAGCAGGGGAAAAAAGCATGTCTCCGATCACTGTTGTTACGTTGAGAATTTATGTTTTTGTAATTGTATTTCTATTTGTAACTGTTATTAACACCTAGCAATTAGTCTGGTTCCATTCACATTAATCAAATGCATATTGTCTTGTATATATTGAATTTATTGGATTGCCTTCCTGCTCAAGTAATACTGCTCCACGATTGTTATAATATGAAAGGAGCCTTTTTTTATCCTTCTGTCTTATATTAGCTTTGTTAAAAGAATGGGGAAAGAAGAGCAAGGCTGGTTTTCATTGTATTAGGGATGTTAAAATCCAGCCCCTTACAGAACAAGGGGAGAAGAGATTTCTGAAGTAATAGCGCATCCATGATGGAAAAAGCTGTGTCAGCACCTCCCTTTATGCAAAGGGAGCTTTCAGCCCTGGCATCTTACAGAGAAAATACTACAGAAAGAAAGAGGTAGCAATGGAGTCCTAAACCATTAATGGCTTTATAGGTTGAGCTGTACTTTGAAATACTCAGTGACATATGGCATGCTACAGAATACAAGTGTCTGAGGATCTCAGTAAAACTAATTTTCAACAAACAGACATTTGTGTTCTGCAGCACCTTTTAGTTTGTACTGCTCTTGGTGAGCTGCTAGCAGGCTAGGGAGAATCTAGAATTAGACAAAGCCGATTTGAGAAAGCACTGTTTTAATTTGACACAGTGATTTTAATTCCCCTTACAAAAGCAGTTCCACAATGCAGACAATATCAATGGGATGAGTTAATGCGGCTTAAAAATCATAAAAATGTAGAAAATTTTTAGATTTAAGAATATCATCATATATTTGGCTTCATTCAGTTAATCTGTGAACCTCGGTTTAGCAATAATACAGGAATATATTTCAGTTTTAAAGAATACACAAGATTAATTAAATCAACATAAGTCCTTTATTTATTATGGTCTTTGATGTGGTACAGTTTTGTAAAGGCTGATCAGAAAGAGCCATTTCAGAAATACAGTAGGAAATTGTTCTTTGAAACTTAACTTTCCTACTGTGTTGAGATTGTGTAGCATGTTTAGTAGTTCTGGGCAGTTCTGCTCTTATAAGTGTCAGGAGAGAGAAGCTGAAAACCATACCGTACTTCTAGTTTCTCAGCTTTGCTAAGCAGTCTGGAACGCTAAGTCCAGGTAAGAGCTCTTGAGATTTTGGAAGCATTCAATCTACTTTTAATCCCTGTCTTTACTTCAGGTGATGTATGTAGTGTAACACTGAAAACTTTCTTCCATATCATATTTGAAGAATGTAACAGGTCACATTTATTTGAACCGTGGTAATATTCCTAAACAATTTGGTTTTTTATCTCTTAGCGCTGGTCCCAAAGGTGATAACATCTACGAATGGAGATCAACCATTCTAGGACCTCCAGGTTCAGTCTATGAGGGAGGTGTTTTCTTCCTTGACATCACATTTACACCAGAATATCCTTTCAAGCCTCCAAAGGTAAGAGACGTGTAGCTGACGTCTTAAGTCATGAACCCTTAACAGGCCATCAAGTAGCAAGCAGTGTTAATGGAATGCAGCCCATTGGAAAGTCACCCTCTTTAAGATCAAGCTTCAGCTCTTTTCAGACATTACATTGGCTTCTGCTGACTAACCTTAACAGCTTTTCTAATCCTCTTGATCGCTATTTTTGAACTTGTTTTCTTTTTCCCTGCTTCTGTTTGTAAGAGGCCCTAAGCAATTAATGCGAGCATCAGGACAGGACTGAGAAACTGAAAAGTAAAAAAACTTGGGAAGAGGAGAAATGATACAAATACTTGTTTCTCGAACCACTTGGTTTCTGTATGCATAATAGTTATGTATGGTTTGGCCACTAAATCAGTATTTAATTTTTCAGTTTTGTGGGGCACTTGTGTTGTTTATCTACTTGTACAGTAATGAACTTTTTCTGTAGGTGTGTTATATTTGTGAAGCTCTTATATTCCAGTGTTGTTGTGTTCCAGTGCTACAAGGCAAACACCAGTGTAAGTGAATGTTACCTTGTAGTTCACGTACTTCACCGGAGGAAGGGTGCCGGGTTACAGGAAGAGGTGGTTGTGTATACGCTTCATGTTTGCCTTGTATCTGAAAGCATTTATGTTCACGTTTAACTTTCTGCTTAAAAGTTGTTGCATTGATGAGATAAATGCCAATGACTGCCCCATCTTCAAACTTTGGTCTAGTCTGCAGTAGAAAGGACTTGTCATAGTTCAGGCCATCAGTCCATTTCAGCAGAGACGATGCTAATTGGTCATACCAGACAAATTAATACAAGCTCCCCAAGTTAAGGAAACTGTTGGACTGTTCTTGCTAGCATAAACTTCAGGGTATATGGTAGTATCAACAGAACCTTAAATTCTACCCCTGAGCTAGGGGTCTGATTCACAAGCAGCACAGTCTACCTTGGGACATCTCTAGTGATTTCCTGCTGACACCTGTCCATCCCATTCGGAGGTTCTCTGGCAGCACAGATGCTTCTCTTGTATTAGAGTTTAATTCAGTTCAGAATAGATTTCATTATTTTGGTTTAATTAGTTTGCATTGAATAATTTATTGTTCAACCAACTTTATGCAATAGTTGATGTCATGAGCCCAACAAGCATTTAAAGAGGGAGCTTTTACCTTCCCGTGTGTGCTCTGTTACACCTTTGCTTTCTACGCTACCTTTATCGTCCCAGGTTTGTCCAGCCTGATGCCTTGCAAGACCATACTATAACTACCAGTGGTATTGACAGCCCTATATGCCAAATTGACTGATGCAGAACCAGAGATAAGGTTTTCTTATTCCAGCTCAGCCCTGCTGTCTGCTCTGCACTTCTGACAGGGATCTCTTTGCCTTTATTGTTGGATCTAAACCCTCACCCAGATGAAAAGGGTGGGACTAAAAAAAAAAAAAAAAAAAAAAAAAACAGGCACCACTTAGTAAGGCCTTAAAAGACAGTGGAGATTCACTGTATGTAGCAGAGTTGCATTTAAATGGAGTCTCATCTAGCAGAGTCTAAGTTGGTTTACAAACCACATATATCTATAGAAATAAAATACATGCAGCTTCAGTTACATTGAGATGGGATATAAGAGAAAGCATAGCAATTCTCTAATAGAACATACTTGTGCTGCTTGGGTACTTCAGGTTTAAATGAAGAACCTTTCTCTTGCTGAGGACCAAAGACTCTTACAGCAGCTCCTGTGTTAACGCCTACACTAGTGTGTTAATCAATGATAATGTGGAAAATATAATTATCATATTGCTCCCGCTTTGTTCCCGCTGATTTGTTCATTTCAGATTGCCCAACTGCTTGCAGCGACTGATAAATATTGTTTGTGGGTCATCTGGAAGTAGTAGGACTAATGTAATTACCATAGCCTTCCTGTATTTGTCTTTTAGGGCAAGAAATAAAGAAACCGCTAGTTGAAACAAAAGCCAGTGTATCATTTTGACGATAAGCACCAGTAGAGCAGTAGACTGGTTGAAGGTCATTTCAAAAGACTTGACATCTGAAAAGATTGAGCTCTCTAGAGTGAAAGGACTAGTTTCCTTTGAATCTTCCTTGGTAAGCCTTGCAAGACCAGTGGAGGAAAACCTCTACTGCCTCTTTGAGTCCTCGGTAATTCTTATGAGGACAGTCCCTGCTGTGGGCTGCCCCGTGGTGAAGTGCCTATAGTAGAACACATTTCATAACTTGAAAATGAAATGTCATTAAAGGATTTACCTTCTTAAATAAAGTGAGGTGAAACAGGTCACCCTGGCAGGCTTCCAAGCCCTTAGTACTATGCATGAGAGAAGGTGTTGAGACATAGCCACTATTGACAAATGCTGTGTGGTTGAGGAGTATCCTAGAGATGTCTGATGAAGGATGTACAGGTGCAGGCTTTGAGGACTGGGTCTAGCTCCAGCTGAGGGTTTGATTCAGTATGTTGGAGCAAATTTTCAGGGGGAGGATGTTGCTATAGGAGAGCCAGAGGACTCTGCTAGAAGTGATATTAACAGATTCCTGGAAGGATATAAAGAGGGTCTGCACTACTGTATTTGAGGCTGGAGAAATTAAAGGTCTTAAAATTTGACTTGGAAATGCATTGCACAGTACAAGGAACTTCAGTGGGAGAAATGTGATACAGGGACAGATACTCTCTCTCCTGTCCTAAATATGTATAATGGACTTGTTTTGCATTTATTGAGCGACACTGAAGATGTTAGCATTAATCTGTTCTCTGCTTTTATATTTTCTCATTTTGTGTGGCATTCTCATTCTGCCTTTGTTTCAGATAGCAACTGAGTCAGGCACATGCTGGGTGGGCCTGGATTCAGGAGAATCCAATGAACAAGTATAATTAGAATTTAAGAGTTCAGTACTTAGTCCTCAAGACGACTGCTATTCTTTTGTACTATTGCAATGGCCATTTTCCCAAGAGTTAGATTAGAGTTGGGTTAGATTTCATTTACTGACGTGAAAACAGTAGCTTGTATTGACCTGGTATGTGCTTTGATCATTTGTATTAATAACCTCTAACCACTTTCTTCCCCCCCACTCCCATTTTGCTGTTTGTATAAATTAACCTCTGCTATCACTTCAGGATAAGGTTGAGATTAGCTTCTTTTATGTCTCTTCAAAAGCTCTGTGTAGTTACTGCATTAATGTAACCTCAGGTGAGACATTTCTAAAGGATTGTTCAGTTACACTATATTTTTCTGCTATTCCACATGCTGTTCTCTTGACCCTGAATACATTGTACTACCTTCCACGTAACTCAGTTTGTCTTGGTTGTGGTCTGTATCTGCTATGTTTAGATGATTTTTTTTTTTTTAATTTATTTATTTTTTCCCTCTGTAAGGTGTAATGAACATTAAATATTTTTGTATGGTTTTAAGTGGGCCCCCAATTCCTCCCCTTTTGCTGGCTTCATTTAGGTTCTCTGCAAGACTGGTTTTTCTACCATCAGCAAAAAATTGTAAATGGCAAACAGCTGGGCTACATGTGTCTAACACCATCCCCGTTCTAACTTTCTGCTTAAGTGAAAACAAATTTAGATTTTTCCCACAGTGCTTTGGTTAGATAGAACTCCTCTAACTTGAGAAAATGGCTTTTGGTGCCATGGATATAACCCTTAAGGGTTATTATATCTTGAGGTTTCTTAAGGAACCAGGGTGTTCTGCAAATATATGGGAGTCATCTTCTTTTCTCTCTTTCCTCTCCTTCATGAATAATAATCAAAAAGTAAGTCTTATTTTTAAAGGCAAATGGGATTCATGCTCTTTTATTAGTTACTAATCAACTGGACTGAGAGACTGCCTATAGAGTATTTAGCTTTTGTGCTTAGAATCAGGATTAACAACTTTCCTTTTACAAATTAGGACTCTTGACCTTTCTGTGAATTTGGCCCTTACTGTATCAACTTGGAAATACTCCACGCTTCCCTTTCTGGAAGTGTTTAATCTGTTAAAATTATTACCTCACCTACATGTAGAAGACTTCTTGGAAGGAGTCCAAAGTTGCAGGTCAAACAGAGAAATACTGATCAAGCAGTGGGGCTGGGCTGAGGGCTGCTGAGGAACCCAGGGCAGAGCCATTGCCAGCAACTCCAAAGGCCACAAACTTCTGGTTTGCCCTAAACAGCATGGGTTGGGGCAGGTCCCGCAGAATGTGATCCTGCCTCCGCTCCGGCTGAGGTCTGCGGATTTCTGCATGGCTGCAGGGAGTCATTGCTGCTTTTCCTCTGAGGGTTAGATGATCTGTGAGACAAAGGTCGTTTTGGTTTCTTACCTGCTATACCTCTAAGGTTCCCTAGGTAGAAAGCAGCAGGGGTTCTTGGTTTTGGAGCTGCAGCTTGTTGCAGAAGTTGTGGAAGGGGGGACGCATCTCCGCTCTCTTGCCCACATTTTGTCATTCCCACCCATAATGTGCAAAAGTTTAAGGATTTGGGGTGTTTTTTTTGTTTGTTTGCTTCCCAGCTTAATGTAAAATCCAAGCAGTTTACAAGGAACAAAGCCGAAAGTCTTCCCAAGCGTGTGGTGTGGGTGTCTCCTCTGTGACAAGTAACTGCTTTAGCGAGTCTGAAAATAGCCCGGGCACTCTGTACATTGGGAGCTTTCTTGAGGACATGGCGCACATGCAGTGTGTGAGGACACGCCGGGCTCTGGGGCTGTGTAGCTGCGTCACCCCACCCTGAGCCTGCAAGAGGGAGGGTCACAGGCAGCATTTTCTGCATCAGAAAAACAGTAGAAAAAATGAGGGTTGGCTGGCAAGTTTAATGTGTGGGCTGGTCTCATTTTGAGAGAAAGCACTAGTGTGTTCTTGTCATACCATGCGCTCAGGGAGGGTGTTTCACAAATACCCCCATGACCTATAAACAGACAATAAAATTTGTGGGTGTGGATAGCTGACAAATTCTGAGGATTTAGGGCATGAACTCGACAACCTTTATTCACACCGATAATCCTAATCCATGCAAGTTCCATCGAATTTGTTGTTGCTGTTCATTCAGTGAGTCAGGGTAAGGCTTCTCTGCAGGTCACATTGTATTCTCCTGAAAACAGCTCGTGGCGCTTTTGTCTCCCTTTTGGATAGCCTCAGTGGCAAGCTGCCCTGCTCATTCCCATCTCCCAGATTTTAAAATCATAAAATCTGGCCAATTTTCCTGATTGCTGAGCTCTTAGAAGCGATGGGAGCCATGCTTCCAAGTGCCCTGGCATGTTTGGGGGATTTTATAAGTCCTTGGGAGCCCAGCGGGAGAAAATGCTGGTGTTAAAGCCCCAGGCCCTTTTGCTGCTGTGAGCAAAAAGACAAAAGGTAATAAATAAAACCTAAAAACCCCACAACCTGGGTTTTGGAGTAATCACCCAGGGCTGGAAGGTTGGCCGCTGTGTTTCAGGGGGGTGGTGGATGTGGTGTCAGCTGCGAGCCCGCGCTGAGGCTGCCGTGATTCACCCCAGGGCTCCCGTAAGTCACCCACAGCCTGCGTTTCAGTTCCTTTCCGTTGGATGGGAAACCCAGGCCGTCGTGTTTGACGCCCCTCGGGTGTACCAGAAACGGTACTGCCACCCACGTGCTCCTGAGACGCTGGGGTTTTTTTGTTTTTTGTTTTTGTTTTTTTTTTTTTAATTTTAAATCAGGCTCGTTTTGATTTGCCTCTGGCACCAGAGATGCACTCCTGCACTCTCTTTTGCCTTTGCCCTGGCACTACGGGTGGGAAATGCCCGTTGAGTGCAAGGCGTCTGCGGTCGGCTGGGGTGGGGGCGTTGGAGGACCCCCTGCATTGCCCGGAGAGGGGGGGTGGTGGTGGTGGGTGTTTGGGGGACTGTGGGGTGTGCTCCCGGCAGCGGCCGCGAGAGGGCGGCGGCGCCCCGGGGAGCCCGGCCCGACACCCCCGGGGCGGTCAGGCACCCCCGGGGAGCCCGGCCCGGCACCCCCGGGGCGGTCAGGCACCCCCGGGGCGGTCAGGCACCCCCGGGGAGCCCGGCCCGGCACCCCCGGGGCGGTCAGGCACCCCCATCCCGGGCCGAAAACCCAACCCTCGTGCCCACTCCTCCGCCAGCGCATGTGGGCTCTTTTCCTTTCCTGTCACCATGCCACACAGTGTGTTGGTACCCCAGCACACCAGCTAATAACTGTTTTCTTGCAGGTAACGTTTCGGACAAGAATCTACCACTGCAATATTAACAGCCAAGGCGTCATCTGCCTGGACATTTTAAAAGACAACTGGAGTCCAGCATTAACCATCTCTAAAGTTCTCCTCTCCATCTGCTCCCTCCTCACAGACTGCAACCCGGGTAAGTCCCCTGCACAGCCGCACGAGTCACCTGCTGCCTTGCACCCCACCCAGCACCCAAATAACATGGCCCTCATCATCTCATCTCATCTCATATCATCTCATCTCATCTCATATCATCTCATATCATCTCATCTCATCTCATCTCATCTCATCTCATCTCATCTCTGTTGGCTTTGGCCAGCACAGCTCTGACCTCCAGCACAGCGCATTTCCCTCTCCAGCTGCCCTGGAGAGGGGCTAGAGGTGGTAAAGGTAACACACCTCCCCTGCCTGCTGTTCACCCCTCCTCAGGCTGACCGGCGGGGAAAGCAGCCATTCTCTTCCTGCACACAAAAACTCCTTCCCCTTCCACACCAACTCCGGTTTTGGATAAGGGTTAAACATTCTTCACTAGTCTGTAGGACTACAGTAATTCAGTAATAGAGCTAGAAGAGCCACAAACATAGTTCTGAAAACAAGGGAATTGGCCTTTTACCTTCGATCATCCACTTAAAACCAGTGACCAACTATGTTTCTCTAACCCACCCATTATCCACACCAGTTAAGAGGAATATCTCTTCGTTTCCAAAGTCAGTTTTACAGGTTTTATTTCTATATATGTCTAAAAATGAGAGAAACACCAGATTTCACACTGTATTATGTATAATAAAAATAAACTTGTTGGAAAAATAAAACCTCTTCTTGAGATCTCATCTCTCCTAAAAGGCAGATTTGTATTGATAGAAGTACACTTAGCAGTGAGTATGTCCCGGGTGCTTTTAGGAGGGGTAAAATAAACCTGAAAGGCATGAATCAGTGGAAGTCCTCAGTAATGAAGAATGACTATTGGATTGTTGTCTTTTAAACTTCTTAAAACTTCAACTGGCATTTCACTCTTTATTAAGTAATAGATTAATACATCACCATAAATACACACAAATCAGTGCAGATACAGACTATCAATTCAGTATATTTAGATTGTTGCAATGTACCTTACTTGAGTGTTTCCCTTGTATTAAGTGCACACTTCAGCTTTGTTTTTGAGATCTGACTCAGTAATTTGTCTGAAATAAGTGGTTTGTTTTTGTTTTTGTTTTTTTTTCAGCTGACCCCCTGGTTGGAAGTATTGCCACTCAGTATATGACTAACAGAGCAGAGCATGACAGAATGGCCAGACAATGGACCAAAAGATATGCTACATAAATTGAATTTTTGTCAAACTCTTACATTATTCGTCTGTGATGGAAAGAGCTGCTTATGATTTTGGAGGGGTGGGGGGAGGGAGGGTGCTGGTAAAGAGTAGGGTATTTCTATAACAGATTTTATTCAGTCTTTTATTTCCTAAGATTTTGTTGTTGTAACTTAAGGTATCTTGCTACAGTAGACAGCTAGGATTGGGTATAGCATATTTTAAGACTGTAATTAGTTCAGCAATATTAGCTCACATATAGTCCTGAGAAGAATGTAAGCTTCTTAGACTTCTTTGGTTTTCAGTTTGCTTGTAATATGTGAAAGATTAAAACAGCTTAATTTTGTACAGGTACATATGTTGACATTTATGTAAAAGTCCTTTCAAGACTCTATACACTGTTTTTGCTTTTTGTTTTGTTTTGGGTTTGGGGGGGGTTATTTTGTTTTGGGTTGGGTTTTTTTTTTTTTTTGTGAAAAGATGTCGGGATTGTTTTCCCCTATGGAGGGCACATTGGTATTTAACAAATCCTTTTTAAAGACTGTCATCTCATGATCTGTGATATGGAGAGGTGGATATATGGCCTCATATATGAAATGAGAAGTAGTTAATGTATTATTTTATAAGCCAATCTATCTTTGTGAAAATAATAAAGGGTTTAATCAGGACTTACGGAAACCTGTAGTGAAATACCTTAAGCTGTTTAACTGTAAGGCGTGGGATAGGAGTCACTCAGTGGATTGGTTGTATGTTGTGGGCTACTTAAGTCTGCATTTGTTACTGTGCTAATAAAAAGATGTTTAAAAAAAAAAGAAGAAGAAAAGCTTTCTGCTTAGTGCCTTTGTCATTTTGTCAGAACAGTGTCTCCCAGTACGCTTTGAGGATTACAGCGTGGATAAGGGCCAGGGAGATCTGCAGGTGAGTGCACTGACTGCTGTTATTTTGGGAAACACTTCTAGACAAGCATACAATGAATGACGGTGTAGGTTTTTTCAGCTGTGTGCTGTGTAAGTGTTGTGCAGGCTGGCACGACCCGTGAGGAGGTAACCTGCCACAGAGGCCCTGCTAGTTACTTTTTAGCTTAAGTTTTCATAGCATTGGCTTTTAAGGACTGGCACATTATTTGAAAATACAGCTGGAAGATTGTAAGAGATCTGAAAGGGAAACAGGCAGGAGATAAAAGGGAGAAGAGAATTATCTTCATGGTTTTCTGATGGTCTATTGGAAGAGGAGAAGGAATCATGTCCTGGTAAGCTAGCAGAAAACACCTTAAAGGAGAGTAAAGGAGACTTAATCTGTAGATCCTTTAACTACCTACAAAGATTATCTCCTAAAGACATAGTGTTTACATTGAGGTGTGTAGCAGCAGGGCAGTTAGTTGTGGATATGGCATTTTTGACCACTCCCTTTAAGGTAAAGGCCGGAAGTACAGATTCATTTTCACACAGCAAATACTTCACCTTGCGACATTCTTCTGAGTGCTGTGTGGTCATCCATGCTCTCAGATTTATTTTGGTACTTTAAAATATATTCTGTATATATTTTATTTATATACTTCTCTTCCTCTCTCTATATATAGAGAGAGAGATCAAATCTAACTTACTCTGAAGTAATCTGTTAGAGGTACCCTTCCTTGGCTGGCTGGTTATGGGTAGTAGTACGTTAACCTCATCTGCTGAACTGCCTTCTTTTGACACGACGTATGTTTTGTGTATGAGCTCCCTCAGCTGTTTGGCTCAGCCTAGGAAAATTATTGGTATATAGCCACATCACACCCAGGAGCATTGCTGGTAATCGTTTCCTCCTCTCCCTTACAAAGTGAGGAGGTAAATGGCTTAATCTCAGTAGGTTTTTGTCAGCTCCTTGCTTCGTGCTACCAGGACTTGCCAAATTAACTGTTGTAGCTGGCAGGGGAGAGGGAGCTGATTTGAGGTAACTGATCTGCACAGTGTTTATTCAGCAGCATAGAAGTTTAAGAGGAACAGAGAAAGATGGTTCAATTTACTAATTTTTCTTTTTTATAATAACTTGTCCATTGTATTGTGAAGGGACTGGCTAGCTTTGTAGTGGGTAAGTGATCCAAGTGACCTGTTTTGAGTCAGTGGAACAGTAAGAACAAAATACGTGTTCTGCCCTTTAACTACTACATTATACTTTGTACTTTACTTATTAACCCTATGTAAAACTGTACGACAGTGATTTTCATTTTTACTCAGTCACTGCATGTAGTTAGTTTATTTGCAGAGGAGCCACTACATTTTCCATCACTCGTCAATAAAATACTATGGTATTTAGAAAAGACAATTGATTTGAGTGTTTAATAAGCAGCAGAGTAAGCTTATGAAAGAAAACAGTGGGTGGTAGTTGTTTATGTGAATGCCCGAGATGATCTAAACTCATTTCTAATGAATTTAATCAAATCAAAGATAAAGTGTTTGCCTTTATGTAACCTGTTTGGAAAAATGGCCTTAGTCAGTCAGAAGACCCCTTTTCTTCTCGGCTTTCTTAAAACATGGTTAAGTCCTGAGTGTCCAGGGGAGCAAGTGAGCAAGCTGATCTCACACAACACAGTGTCGGCAGCCTACAGGTGACATCGGTCTTGGCAGTGGAATCGGCACCAAGTCTGGGGGGTGCAGAACTGGACCAGAACCAGTCATATCCATTTCTTCCATCTCCACACATTTTAAGTAAATTCTGACTTGTCAACCTCTGCTCCCTCGGCTCAAGGGTCAGCTTCTGTGACAGCATGCAGTCAGCAGAGAGCTTCACTTGATTGATGCAAAGCTGAGTCTAGTCCCTTCTAGAAGGAGTGTTCTGCAGAGCTGAGGAGGATCACCAATTCCTTGGTGAGATGCGGAGTCTTCTGGGTAGGGAGCAGCCTTGAGTACACGTGTGTTTGGTAGGAAATGAGTGAGGAGGGAGTGTTGTTCTGCAGCATCGCCAGGGACCATGACTGTTCCTAGCCAGGTTGGAGGAGATGGTACTGTAGTGCTTACTCAGCTGCAGTGTTGCAATGGAAACAATTGTATGTTTCCAGCAGGGCATTACAAGAGCTTGCTCATTCATAATTGCTCTCTTATCTTACTCCTCGGCCACAGTAATCCAAACTATATTGAGTAAAGCACATAAACAGTTTCGTCTACCTTCATTATAAAGGTAGGAATACCTGCTTAGCTTTTAGTGAATTGTACTGCCTGCCACTCTGACGTTAATAATGCTGACAGACTTTATTTGGCAGTATTCAGGAAGAGCAATGCTATAAGCGCAGAGTTTAATTGTGATCATTAAGCACACTTACTATTTAGCAGTTATGATATGACAATGCAAATATTGCTTGTGGTTTTGCTTACTCACAGTGAAACTCTCAACATTCTCAATACTTGTCCAAAACAACATTAATTTAACGGAAAACGAGGGAACTGAGTACTTCAGTTCACTCCCTCTCCCCACTCTTGTCTTCAGATATAAAAAAAAGCTAGTCTCAATTAGTATAAGAGGTGGTTAGAGACCAAAAGCTGCCCACTCTCTCTGGGAACAGTTGCTCGTTCTGTCCCTATATATCCAATTTTGTTTAGTTTACTGACAGGCTAACCTACAACAGCAGGTTCCTGCAGCACAGGTTTATCACTGTAGAGTCAAATACAGCATGTATAGATGTGCTCCTGCTGCTGGACCATGTGTGGCATATTAAGACCAAGGCCATTTGTACAGGTATTTCTGGGCATTTGCCGTGGGGATGTTCCCAAAAGGCAGCCTCCTACGTTCCCTAGCCCCCTCTCTGCCCCCCTGCTTTGCTGAATGGCTGGGTGGGAGTATTATGCAATGCACTAAGCAGAGCTCGGGCAGTACCTCCTGCATACAAAACTGCTCTGTGCAATTTCTCAGTAAAATTATCACCTATGTGAATGTGGCTGATTTGTACTGGACATGCTGGAACAGAAGCACATACAGCTATGTCGTCCTTCAGGTCGCAGTTAAATTAATGAGTGCTCTGAGACCTTTTCTGGTTTGTACAAATAAATTCCTGAGCTGAAAGCACTACTTGTCAGACTTTGCCGACAAGCTTCACATCAGGGTAGATCTTCCCACAAGATTTGTTTATTGTATTTTTTTTTTTTTTTTTTTTTTTTTTTTCTTCCAGACACTAGCAAAACTTCAGCAGCATAATCTGCTGGTAGTTGTTCCTCCTGCCCCAAACCCTTACTGACCTCAGCCTCCTGCAGCATCAAAAAGTCCTGTAGTCCTGTTGAAGGTCCAGGTAAAAGGATTGTTGCCATTTCAAACATATCCTCTTTCCAAACTGAATGCTTTATTGCAGCTAGTACTATTTGTGACTAGAGGCTATAGATCTGCAGGGGTATTGCTTAATGACAAGTTTGTTGATTTGTCCCTCAACATGGCTGTGTCCAGGCATACTTGAAGCCCCTCTGAGAGGTGTCCCCCTGTCCCTGCCTCCTCTACAACTCCTGTTGCAAGACGACAACTCTCATAAAGTGCTTTTTAAGGCTTTTACCACCATTGACTTTTTCAAGCTAAGTCCGTGAGAGGGAAGGATACCTCAGCCATAAGCTTGCCGATTTTATTGCTGAATGAGATTATTGCTTTAAGTGAAACTGTGAGAAGCAAATGTTACCGAAAGGACTTAGGCTGTGACCTGGCAGCAGCAGACAGTGCTAAGGTAGCTTAGTTATCACAGTTATTCCCTTTGTTCTTCCTTCCAGGCAAGGGAAATGTTGATTTGTTCTGGGACTGGGAGAGTTTGCTAGCTAAGAAGGTAAAGGGCTCAAGCAGTGTTTTCCGATCTGTCACCGTCACTTCCCACAGTCTCACTTTCTCAGCCCTTGCCCACTGCTGTGCTGCTTCTGTCTCCACTTGCCTCTGGTCCAGGAGGTCAGTTTTGTTTCCCAAGACAATAACTGTTACCTATAAACAAAACAAAAGGGTGAGCTTTATATAAAAAGCATCCACCACTCACAATGCTTTTAAACAGCAGGCAAGTAGCAACACAGTTCAGACCTGTTCTTTAATTTAGCACTGGCACAAGGTAAGCTATGAGCAGTTTGGAAGATCAGGGTCTGGGATTTGATTTAGCCTCGTCTATTTGTGGGCTGGGAGCTGGTTTTAATCACAGGATATGCAGGACTTCCCCTTCTCCCCCCCAGTGCTTAAAGGGAAACGATACCCAAGAGAGCCGAAGTTAAACAGCCCTATTCTCCATTTACTTGGCAATTGAGCTGCCCTAGACAAATGCTAAGAGCGTGACATCAGAGTAGGTCAGAGCAGTGGGTGATGGAGAGATGAAAAAACGCGTGGCAGCAGAGAAAGCCTGGACCCCACCGTTGTGGATTTTGCCCAGCTTGTTTTCCCCCAAGCCCCAGCCTGCAATATGAACAAGGCCAACCCTGCGAGAAGGCAGCCTGTGTGGGCACCTGGGCCGGCTCCCCACGTGCCGTGGGCACGAGGGACCTTCTGCCACGGGAAGGGTTGGGTAAGCACCAGCACCGTCCTCTCAGAAGCAGTTTCAAGAGCAGCTGGTTGGCTAACAAGAGCAGCAGAACTGTGTCAAGCCAGATCCCGAGTTGTAAGGATCCATCAGGTGCCAGGCAGAACAGGGTGGCTGAGCTCAGTGGCCCGCCTGGTACTTCAGTTTAGGAAGTGCTGAAGGTAGTGCTGGCTTCTTACGGTTAGTGCTCCTGCTTATTCTAAATTAACTGTTTTCTAAAAATATTTTATCAGCATTAGCTCTTCAGGGAAACCATGCCTATGTTTATAGTTCCAGGTCCGTAGTCAAACTCTGGTCTCCTCTCTACACCGGTGGTTTGACAAAGATCAAGTGATAAAGTCTTCTCTTGCTGATGATTTGGGGTTTTTGCTGTGGCCACACCTGCTTGCTCTTTCCTGTTCATCAGGCTAACTTGGGGATGTCATCTGTTTCTTTCCAGCTAGAGATTTTTGTCCTGTTCCTGTGAGGTCTGAGGCTTCCTTTCTTTTCTGTAGCAGCTCAGGGTGATTGGAAAAATGTTTTTATCCTCTGCAAAGGCTTTGAAAGAAGCTATCATGTTCATGTGCATTTACCACATGCTCCAACTGACTTTTACCTATGGCTAAGCTCTGTCAGTACAAGAGAACACAACCTCTGCTTAGTGTAAAATTTGTCCACATTTTAAGGTCCGTGCTGGAGAGCCCCCACAGCCAGCAGAGGCAAGGAACCAGCCATCGGTGCTTTCTGTCATCTGCCACACAGCAGGGACTGTGCCACTCAACACGGTGAAGTTCTGCCAGCTCAAAAGCACCATGTGGAGATATATTCCCTAAATCAGGTAAGGATACATTCTAGCAGCCCTAACTTTAAGTCTACTGATGCTATCTTAAGGTAGGACTCCTGACCTCACGTTCTGTGCTTCAAAGCCTATTTTATACGGACTAGAAATCATAGGATTAAAACTAATTTACCCAGCTTATTGTGGGTACCACTCTTTCAATTGTTATCCTCAGTCAAGGTCACAACTATAAGCTCTCCCAGAGAATAAGCAAATAGGCTATTTTCTAAAATACCTGCATGCAACGAGAGAGAAGAATTTTGGCAGATAACACAGACGGGGGACACAGATCCTGTTGGGGCTGTGACTCCCTCCCCACATTACGACATCCTGTAAAGTAACAAATCAGGGCCCTCACAAAACAGTGCCTGGGAAAAATTTCCTGCTTGTCCACCTTTCCCTGCCCTGCAGGGGAGTTATGATTGAATTCTGTATCCTTGATATACGTGACAGCCTGCAGCTCACACCAGCCCTACCAGCTAACATACCTCTCCTGTGACTACACATTTGGCTGCTGTCAGACTTGGAGCCTGCCTTCCTCTACCACCCTATGTGCTGTCAGTACTAAACAAGTCACATTTTTGGAAAGTCTCTCCCTACCATTACCCAATTAATTCTTCATGCACTTTTTTTTTTTTTTTTTTTAACAGCATAAAACAGACATTTGGAAAGCTGTAGGCTAAAGACATTTAACAGGGAAAATTACTTGCGAATATAAAGATACTGTAGGAAAAGACATAATGCTAATGCCACATGCAAGTTATATTTGTTTAGCTAAGCTGGAACACTGTCAGCTGAAAACACTAGCTGCTTTCTACGGGAAAATAGAGCAGTCATTTCACACAATTGAATTGATTCAATATGGTTGTTAAAATACATTAAAGCTGCTTTGCCAATTGACTAATGTCTGGGAGACCCATTGTCAATTACACTAGTTTGTAAGCCATCAAGTACATGAATACAAAACAAACAAAGATAATGCCCTTTGTTATATTATGCTATGCACTTGACTTCCCGTGTACAATATCTAAAAAACATATGAACTGCGCTGCTGTAGACCATATGTTTTATTAGTCATAAGTGTCCTGGCTGGTGCATTTAGCTAACTGAATTTTAGCTGTAGTAGAGGAAGAAAGAAGACAAACGAAAAAAAAAGCATTCTTTTGCATGACCTGCATGGCATGTCAATTAGGCTTCCCCAGTATGAGAAAGCTTCCTTTTGCTGGATTGCCCAAGGCTGGGGTTACATTCCCTTGTATGCAAGTTTTACAGAAACAAACTCTATGCTTTGCAACGTTAGCTTCCTATCATGGATACAGCGATAAGCCAAACAGTTAAGACACCCTGAATTTACCTCCTTCTTGTCTCTGAAGACATCGATCTCCTTTTTGAGCATTTCGACTCTTTGGAAAGCTTCAAGGCTGGTCACGGCGTACACGAGAACGAAGCCGTCGGCGACAGAGAAATAGTGTTTTGGCAATTCTATGCCTTCCTGCAGACCCCTGGTGTCATACAGCCGTAACTGTTCCTTCACACCTCGGTCTGTCTCCACCGACGCCAAGTATACATCTTCCATTGTGGCACCCTCTTCTAAGCCTGTTTTAAAACAAGCAGGAAAGTTCAACTGGTGTTAAGTACAGCACCACTGTAAGAATTATTTGCAGTGCAGCAGATTTCGACCCTACAGTAGGTTGCGGTGCATGTTTTCCAGAGTGGCTCAGCCTCGCCTGACATCCCCACGAAGGGCTGTATTCACAGATCACCGCACCAGCTATTTACAATAGCAACACTGTGTAAATACAACAGTGCTCTCATATATGAGTACATGACTACGCCTGTAAAATCAGTCTATACAATATGCCCATTCAGGACAGGATAATACATACAGCTCTTCCCCCAGTTTCCCAAACTCCAACCACCCAGTCTACCAGTTCTGTGCCAAACGTGCTGCAAATGGGCCTGCCCAAACATACCCGTTTGGAAGAACAGCCAAGGAACACCAGATAGTGAAGTACCAACATCTTGAGCCTACTTGTTTGCTTCATACTGAGCTGGATCATACAGCAAAACCAGGAGCCAAAAGAATAATTCTGCGAATGAATGTGTTTCAGTGGTACAACTAACCAATAAGTGAAATCAAGCCAGAAAGGGAAGGGGATGTTTGCATGCAAGCAAAGTTGCATGCTAAATTTACTCAAATACATAGTGAGCTTTTTCCATCCCTTAGGGATTTAAAATGACTCAGATTTGCTAATAGGAGCAAGCTCATTTACTGCAAGGCAAGAGTGTGCACAAAGTGACGAGCTTTCATATATATATATATCACTGGTCCAGGGTAACTATCAGCATACTGGCTCTCCTTCCTTCCTCTCCCCATGGCAAATGTGAGGTAATACAAGGCAGCTTACTTGGCACTAATTAAAATGATTTTTATTCCTAGCCAAACCTGAAAACACATAGATCAGCTTAGCTTTGTGTTCCCCCTGCATGCAGGTGCGTAAGGTTACAGGTCCCAACAAACTATGTACTGTGTAGCTGGGCCACTTTCAGAGTCAGTTTTAAGTATTCCTATAAACCCTCTGCAATTCACATTTTTGCCTCCACTGCACTCCTATATACATGAGTTGTTTGCCATTGCAGGGCTACAATAATGAGTCCCACGTAATTTTCTTTGTCTGCCAAAAAGGGACCATATTGCAGCATTGTTTAAGAAAACACGAGGGATTATCTGGCCTGTGAAAATAAGGATCTTGATTTATTCAATGACACTATTCAAAATACTTTACATTGACAAACAAGCTAAAGCATTCCACCCACGCTGATGGTTTCCCATGATGTATGCAGCATTCCTGCGCAGGAAAGTGGCACAAGCTGTTCTTTTTGCCCCTCTCTGTGCAGTCTTCATAGATCAAAATCTTATTAGGTTTGCAGCGAATTAATTTATCTTGCCTCCAAATATAGCCATGCTAACATGCGGGAGCAAAACTAAGAGCAGAAGGACAAAACAAAGGTTAATAAAAAGAAGCAGCATGAATGCATTCTGTGTGGCTGGAGAATGTGTTACAAGGGCATTTTTAAAGACTGAAGTAGGTAACGGAGCCCTTTCTGGATATAGCACTGTATTTTTTCTTGCTCTGCCTCGTTGCATTGTACAGGCAGGTCAAGGAAATATCTAGCATCAATAAATACTAGTATGGCAAGAAGGAATGAACCATAAGTACCTAAGTTTTTCTTTTTAGAAAGCAATAAATAATGGTGTACAGGTTTTTACCACCTAAATGCTGCACTGTAATTCAACAGTCTTTAATATATCCACATTCTCTTGTGACAGTCTCTTCCTAATGGCATTAAAAGTAGCAGTGAAAATTATGTCTTTCAACATCCTACTTGAAAATGAAGAGGAAAAATTAAGACCTGGGGCTTAAGTCAGCAGAATAGAGCAACAAATTTTGATGGGAAACGGGGTGGGGTGTGGGAGGGCACTTTGGAGGGAGCTGGAATTTATGCATCAGTATCAGATTCCAGAGGTGAAATTTCACCTACGTACATTGCGGAGGGGAGTATATGCAAGTAGGTTCCTAGGCAAACACAGAGAGTTTTTAGCCATACCTGTGTCGCCTTATTCTAGACCCTGCTTCTAAAGCCCAGACCGCAAGCTAGCCACATCTTGCTGACAGCGACATTTCCACTTCTCGTTAGCACTGTCCCACTCAAACTTTCGCAGTCTCCATTCAAACACGGGCTCAGTAAGTTGTTGTACGAGTGGCAAAACTGGTCAGGAAAGCCCAGTGGCCTGGGAAGGTGTCTTGCTCCACCCCATCCTCCCTGTCACAGGGACCCCGGTTCTCCTTTCCTTCCCAGGCACCCTCCCACCTTCGCTGCCGCAGGGGGCCAGGGCAGCTTGCGCCGGGGCGTTACTGCCATGCAGACTGCTGACAGCTGCAGTAGGTTTTCCTTGGAGAGGAGAGCGTTATCACAGGCCTTTTCTCTCTTTCCTGCTACCAGTTTTTCTAAATTTACAGAAACATATTTTGAAATATCTACTGCTGTGACACAGATGAATGGGCAGATGGAACCAGCTTTCAGGTTCAGAAGCTACGGGGGGGAAAGGGGAACTAACAAGACAGTGAACAATCTCATGGTTTCTTTGGAAACTAAAGATGAAAAAAAAGTAAAGGAGGGAAGGGAGGAATAGACAGAAGATTGATGCCATTCTCTAGCGCGTACTTAGCTGGTACACATCTCAGGAGAAGCAGAAAGATCTTTGTCTATGTTACCAACTGCTGCCACAGAGGAACTGCAAGGGGAAGCCTCAGTCATAAATTGGGTGGTGTTTCAACCCCTGGTGGTTTCCCAGTGAGGAAAAGAAAAGGCTCGATATACTAATGAATACTGCACGCTCAGGCTAGGCAAGGCAGAGATATTGCAAATACCAGAATGAAGCAAATTTTCAAGATGGATGGAATTTCAGAAGTTCCCAAGTGACTCTTGAACATAGCTGCAGTGCAAATTTTATGTCTTCCTGAGTACTTCTGAAGATCTCCTATGTAATCCCTCCTTCCCTCTTTCCAGCAGGAATTTAGCAAAGAGCTCCTATAGCCTGCTATTCCTTGTGTTTGTAATCTGCAGGCTTTGCCTACTTAGATCTCAGACAACAGCGTATCAGAGGATCCCTGACTTTGAGAAGATCCGGGAAGGCCTCAACTGGATCTGTTCTATTTAGCCTTAGCTGCTAGTTAAGTACTGGTCCCACCAGCCAGTAGGCAGGGCTGCGACCCTCAGTTGCATACATTCAGCTCCATTTTTGTCTATTTCTAAAATGCAAAGCTGACCGCAGGTCTATCAGGAAGCAGTTTTGATTTAAGAAACAAAGACGTAAGAATGCATAATTTAGTTAATTGGCCTTTCACATCTGTGAGAGCCAAAGCCCTAAATCCCTTCAGCTGAGACCAGGTGATGCAAATTTCTCGTTACGGGTTCTACCACAGTAATATATGGTGTTTTCATTCCTATCTAGTAAGATGATTTGAAGTAGCTGCTTATGAATAACCTGACCATACCAGCTATTTACACAGCCAGGAGGCAGAGATAAGGAAAATCGTGTTCTCTACAGGATGAGTTCTCATCTCCTCCTGTTCAGCTGATAAGTTTTACTGTAGGTTAAAGGGACAGAGATATTTTAAAGACAGAAAGAAGACTTCTTTCTGCACCATCACTGAAGAGGGACACTGTTTAAGGAAAAATACCTATCCTCTTTACGGTGATGTCCTGTGCCAAAGTTAAGCCAGCAACTCTCCTGTTAGCCCTCTCAAGAGAGCTCAGGCCAAGCGGTGCCATGTACCACAGGTATTTAGTGGGACAATCTTCTAGTGCCAGTCAAAGACCCATTTCATGACTGAGGAGGAAAGACTGGCCCCTCCTTCAGGAGTGCAAGAGAAGGTAGAGTATTTGGATAAACACAACATTGAAGCCACAGAAAGAGAGGTGATCCCAGGTACCAGGCAACCATATATATATGTGAAAACCTTAACAACTATTTGGCCTGACCTATGGCAATATAGTCCCTTCACAACTCAAAGCTAAATCTGCACCCATTTCAAACATCTCCTTTCATGTTTTGTCCGATTCCTCATATTGGTTTAGCCGGAGAGGCTGCCATGCAATACCTGTTACTTTATGTGGCTCTGACAGCATCCCATTTTCTTACCCTCTCCTTTCTCATCCTAGGGCCCAAGGCAAACAGCCCCTCTTGCAGTTGTAAAGCCTAGCACAAAGCCCAGCACCACACATCATTGTTTGCATGCTCCAGGGACACAGATACTCCTTTTTTGGGAATATTCCTCTCTCCTGAATACTTTTTCCTCTTTGACCTCAAGTAATCTTACTGCCTTTCCAGGAGTGCTAGCTGCTGACCATGTAAACAATGGCAGCAGTTAGGGACTTCACCCATGACAAGCCAGAGAGAGCTGAAGGTGCACATTTTTCTCGGAAAAGAAACACAGCGCAACTGGCTTTACAGCACCATCACCAAGCACGCAGCCAGGGGCATGGGCTCAAAGCCAAGGATTTTATATAGCAGCGTGAAACCTCCAAGGACACTAATCACTTCCCTGACAGCAGCTGTGCCACCGCTCCTTTTTGCAGGAAAGTCACCAGGAGGCATGTGAGCGCTGACAGAGACTCCTGGCTGATTTACAGTCAGGAGGAGCCCCCCACATCAGTGGCCACGACACCCCAGAGGATGGCACCGAACCTCGTGCTCTGAGCCTACGACCAAGTTCGGGCACACCTCTCGCCGCCGGGAGGAGGATGCGGCTGCCGTCAGGAGCGGAGCGACTCAGAGCATTGGCTCAGCAGTCCTCCCCACGGCCCCCCAGCCCTCGGCCCAGCCACTGTCGAAGTGGGCTGAGGAAGAGGCAGGGAGGACAGTGACCGCCCAGCGGGACTGACAGAAACACCAGCATCGCTTGAACGTGCCCGATGGCACATGCAGGTGGTATCAGAGGTGCTGGGTCACAGCTGTTTGCCCCTTGGGGCTGCAGGGGCTCCATGTGAGCCCCCTCCACACTCTGATCTTGACTCTGCTATCTGCCCTCTTTCTCTGAACGTCTTGGGAATAAGACTTGACCAAAATAATAGAAAACAGGAGACTATCTTCTTCCTTCTCCCCTTGCACCCTCCGCTCCGCTATCAGTTACTCCCTACCTTACTGTTAACTCCAAAAAATAAGAGCAGAGCTGTGAGAAAGGAAAACCATCTTTTTTAAGAGGGGGGGGGGGGGGGGAAAGTCTGTGTTGTGCAATGGCCGAGTTTGAGAGGAGCGCTTGGGAGCAACAGAGGGACAGCCGCAGCTAAACCCTGGGCATGAGGCCTCCCTCCAGTTATGTCAGCCAGTATCCATCACATTGTATAACCGTGTACATGGCTGGCTCCATGAATAGCTCCTCCGATCAGCAGCACCTAAATATCCTTCCTGCCTGGGTCGCTAATAGGAGCTCGGGGCAGGAAGTAATGCAAGGCAATACGATTTAAGAAACGTGGCCCTGCTCATGCTGCTCGGGTGTCTCCGACAACCACCCTGCAGAGAGGCAGGTCAGCAGCAAAGGGGAAAACCTTCAACCTGCAGGTTTTGCAACCTTCACACTGAAAGCTACACGGGGCTACATGCATAGGGCTCGGTAGGATGCTGGAAACATGTTGCTGCAACATTAGAGGAAATCCTCCTTTTAAACAAGGGTATTAGCACGCAGTTCTGTATCTCGCTTTGCCAGCAAATTCCTCCCATCCACATATTTTAAAGGCGCAGTGCCTGCAAAGCACCATTCTAGAAATCCTAGTGTTTATCCAGTAACTCACCCCAACATTTAATGTATCTACCCAAGGAAAAAATACAAACATCTGTCAAAGCCCTGAGATTCACCCCTGGTGCCACCCCTTGTTTCTGGGTGAGGCAGGAATAATTTGTCAGCCTGCAGATCGTTGCCCTTCCTCTCAAAGCCAAGTCATGTGGAAACAGAGGGAAACAAGATGGCTTTGCCTTCATTCCCTTTCTTTAGTGCACAGCAAGTCTGAGACTTCCCATGCTCTTCTCTCAAGTCTGTTTTCCACAGGAGGATTTCCTGGAGAGCCAAGAAGCTTGGCCCTTGAAGATCAGCACAGAATGTGGGACTTAAAGCTGGGCTGTTTTTCTTTCCAGCGCTTTGATTAAAATTAGCCAAAACCAAGCAAAATAAAGCTTTAAGAAGACAGAACAAAAATGTAAACAGTCTCTCCACCCATCATGTGACATCTATTTATTTTTTGGGCATCTACAGCATCCTTCAGGGAATGAGATACTTCTTACGTAAATAGGCAGCAAGCACATCACCTACTTTCTGTGTTTGTTTCTTTTTAAACATCTCTTATAACTGGGAACATCACTGAAAGGGTTCTTCTCCAAGCGTCTTTTAAAAATTGATAAGGGACTATGAATTTCAAGAACTGCCCAGAGATGCAACAAAAACCGCATCAATTTCTTCCTTCACCCCAGTGCAGTTCACGGTCCTTGGCTACTGTTTTTTTGAAGCCTGCACAGAATAAGATGCTGGAAAAGGAAACAATCCCCCCCAAAAAAAGTAAAAATGTCTCACCAACAGTATGCTTTCCATAGAGAAGCTGCTCCAAAATCGCAGTCTTTCCCACTGAGGCCATTCCACAAACCACCACCTTGTAGCCCTTTCCCATCTTTCCCGCAGGGGCAGAGGCAGCCGGCGAGCCCTGGGCAGACGCAGGAGGCTGTTAGCCCGGTGCGGTGGCAGAGCTCAGCACCAGGCAGAAGCGAAGCCCGTGAAAGGCGAGAGGCAAAACACGAAGCAGCGGGTGCACAGCTCCCTCCTAGGCGCTCACCAGTGACTGATATTTTTAGGACTAGAGTTTCCTCCCACACCATTTTTTAATGTTTTAGGATGCTGCCATCGGTGCTGATGCTTGCCTGAAGCCTCGACACTTGTCCCGTCAGGCTCGGGGAGACCGTTTACGAGCGCTGAGGTGTGTAAACCCTACGGGGCCAGGGCTGTGTTAGCTGGCGTGTATGTACACTGCAAGAGTTTTGTTATCGGGCTTTGTGGTTCTGCTGCGGGCCTGATGGTATCTGGTGGTATCAGGACAGCTTCTGGAAACGCAACAAAACGGCGGTTCCTTCCCTTTTATTTCACACACAGAAAGTTTCTAGCTTTTACAGGCTAGGAGCTAGGAGCATTAAAGGCAGAAGCACAGGAGAGCAAATGCGAAAAGCAAGCGTTGTGTTCTGCGTTAAATCAGTTTGGATGGGTGGGGGTTGGTTTTGGCAGGAGGCCTCCAGGAGCCAGGGGCAGTCCCCTCTGCCAGCGAGCCATAGCAGGGCAGCGGGCCGTACCCCTCAGTTCGCTGTTGGGAGCAGCTTGCCCCAGAGCTGAGGAGTACCTTTGTAGGACCAGGAGGGGCTGGCGTTATCTTCCTCCGATTCCAGCTTCACCAGGCAACGCTTCAGAAGCTGGGGTGCTCTGCAAAGCATACACTGAAAAACAGAAAGGTCACTCCGCAGACGCAGGGAGGCAGGGAGAGCCTAATTCCCATTTTGATTCCCCAGCAGGGCCTGACACCTCCAGGGCAGCACACTGGGGATGGTGTTGGGAACCAGAGAGGGGGACAAAAGTCCCCTCAGCACAGGGCCCGTCCCTACTCCTGCAAATTCACTACTGCGGGTGGTGGGGGGGAGGCACAGAAACACCGGGGCACTGCACGCAGGAGGGACGTGGGCAGACCCACAATGGATAAAGCCAGGGCCAAGGCCCCAGCACGTGTTGCTCATGCAAACCTCCTCGTTGGGGAGCACCCCCCCCCCCAACCTGCAGCATCAGGGGGCTCCCTGGTGCAACGCTCCCCCCACCTGAAAAGGTTTTAAGGCTTTATTGCCCTTAGGACTTATTATATAATTGGTTGATTTTTAAAATTATTAATATTTTTAATGATTTTTTTAAAGGTTCTTTTCAGGATTTTAAGGGCTTTTTTATGCCAAAACACACCCCCCCACCCCCAATCCCTAGCTAGCCTTATGGGGGGCAGGGGCTATTTCAGAGGGTGCCCCAGCCGGCAAAGCCCCTGCCCCAAAACCAGCCCCCACCCCGGGGGTGCACCCCCCCCCCCGCACCTCCGCGCGCCCCCTGCCCCGCGCGCGCCGCCCTCCCCGCGCCCCCGAGCGAGCGCGCACCTGGGCAGAGTTTCCCGCAGTGCCCCATTGAGCGGCGGCTGGCCCCGCCCCCCCCGCCCGTGGCCCCGCCCCGCTTGTCGCCTATTGGCGGGAGCGGGGGACGGGGCGGGGAGGACGGAACGCCTTCCTTCCCTCCCTCCCCGCCCGCGGAGGCGCCGCTGCCGGAAGTGCGATGTGGCCGCAGCGGATTGTGGGAAGGGGGCCTTTTCCCTTTCCGGTGCCGGGCGCCATCAGGTGAGGACGGGTCGGGTTGCCACCGCTCCCTCATCCGGCTCCATCCCGGGCCCCGGCGGCGGCCACCGCCTCGGCGGGGCCGCTCCCGCGGCCAGCCGGGCCCCGAGACCCGGCAGCAGCGCCTCGCCGGGGCGGGCGGGCGCTGGGCGCCGCGGGTTGCGCGCGGGCCTTGTACCCCGGTGGGGCGTTGGGTTTGCGGCTGGGTCTGTGGGGTGCTGTGCCGCGGTGCGGTCCGAAAGAAGGAGTAGCTGGGGATGGGAAGGGGAAGGCCGCAGCTGGGCCTCTCTCTGGGGAAAAAAAAAAAAAAAAAAGGAGAGATAGGGAAAACCACGCGTCAGCCGTTCCGGGTGGAATTTCTTCTGCAAATAAAATGAGTCGCGTTTTTCTGGTGCTGATGTGGGTGAGTTTTGATGGAGTTCACTCCTATGTGCAAGTCCATGCAGGGATGTGAGAGCTCAGAGCGTTTTGGAGATCATTGAACCATGTTCAGAACAAAGACCACACCGCTCACAATCTGACACTGCGGGTTAATATTTACAACTTGTTTCAGATCGTAACTGCTGGTTTTGGTAGTGTCTGGCATACGTATCTGAAAACTTACCACCTGAGAAGTTCCAGCACTTAGGAACACGAAAAGGAGGGAACTTGCTGGGAAGGGTAAGGGTAACTGGAGGCTGCCAGGTGTCGGCTGTGGCAGGGGTGCAAAGCTGGGGAGCACCTTGCGTTCCAGATGTGTCAGCGCATGGGTTTAGGCAGTGTCTCCCTTGGAAGTTGTCCAGATTTGGAGTCAGATACCGTGCACCTTTTTTTCACTGACTTATTGATTCAGCAGGTAGGCAAACATGGGTGCCTACAAGTACATCCAGGAGCTGTGGAGGAAGAAGCAGTCAGATGTGATGCGGTTCCTGCTGCGTGTCCGCTGTTGGCAGTATCGCCAGCTGTCTGCCCTGCACCGAGCTCCCCGGCCGACCAGACCAGACAAAGCTCGCAGGCTGGGGTACAAGGCCAAGCAAGGTAACTAGATGGAGAGGTGAAGTCCCTGTCAGCTTCCTTGAGTTACAGCAGAATAACAAAATCCGAAACTTAAACATTTCCCAGGAGCCTGAAGTGTCCCACATGAAATGAACTTACTCATATAAATGTGTTACGTTGGTAGCAGTGCACATAGCCCAAAACCTGACTTCGCTTTGAAGTGCTTACTGTAATTTTGAATTCACACCTTCTGCAGCCATTTTGGCAGATGGAGATCGAGTGGGTTTGGGCTTTAACTCTTGTGCTGTGTTACTACTGCAGAGGTAACCAGTGCTTTTAGTATCCTAGGTTTGGTGGTGTCTTTACTTTGCCCAGACCGTGCTATGTGTTACTTCGTGTCAGAAAGCTACATGTGCTCAAGTAAGCAAGATGACAGTTTCTACTGTCGTTAGAAAACAGCTACTGGTCAGTGAAAGAAGCTTGGGGAAAGCAGCCATCCATCTGTAACTTGAGCAAATCCTTGAAACACTGTGTTCTTTCACTGTGAAATATAAAGCTAAGAGTCTCTGCCTCTGTTACTGTTTGTGAAGTTTGTCTAGTTTCCTCACTTCTCATTAGTCACATTTCAGCAGGGTTTGCGAATGCCTTGTGCTACAGTGCTTTATGAATGATGCTATCAGGATAGGGGATTTGGGGTTCCGGGTGGTTATTTTGTTGGGTGTTTTGGGGTGTGTTGTGTGTTGTTTTGTTTTGGTTTTTTTTTTGTCTTACAACGTAGCTGTAGCTGTACTTAGTGTATTTGAAACTGTAGAGTGGAAGAGTGCCATAAGCTCTGGTTTGGAACTAAATAATAGTCATGATAGGACATCACTTCCTTTGCTCAGTTGTAATGAAAATAACATCTTGTGCTAGCCACCTCCAGTTGTAGGTTTTGGTGAAGATGAGTATAGTGACCTAAGTTTGCAGCATTCCATGTAAAGTTTTTGGGGCTGGAAATATAGTGTGGGCATCAAACTTGTCTTGCCATGTTCTGCACTTACTACACTACAGAATTTTTCTAATTCCTAAGTCACCATTTTTTTAGGTTACGTTATCTACCGTGTCCGTGTTCGCCGTGGTGGTCGTAAACGCCCAGTCCCAAAAGGTGCAACCTACGGTAAACCCGTGCATCATGGTGTGAACCAGCTGAAGTTTGCCCGGAGTCTTCAGTCTGTAGCAGAGGTGACTATTTTGGTTATTGCTTAGAAACTTGATGATAGGAAGGTCTTGGTTGGTAAAAGTTTAAAATACTAAGAGACAAAGAAAAAAACCGAAACAACGGTTTTGATAGTGTGTTGGGTAAAAGATCTTGAATACTGATGGCAGGAAAGCACCAGAATGTCTTGAAAAGCTGTATTGAAAAAAAAAACTCTTCAGACTTTACAGACAGGGTCTGGGGGAAGTACTGCTTAGGAGGTCTGTTGGAGTTCATAGTATATGCTTACTTCTAAAGTATGGCACAATATTTGTAATGAAAAATAGACATGCACCTAGTGTAAACCCCAGTAAAATAAAGGGTTAGGCATGAGAAATAGAAGAATGAGTATGCTAAGGTGTCTGACTTCACTCATCACTAAGTCCCACCTCTGTGTTCCCTGACATGTATGTATTACCAGCTCTAGGTAATGGTCCTTTCACAAAGTACAGGTGAGTTCCTGTGTTGAAGTCCGGAGCAGGAGTGCTGCACAGTGTACTTGGCTGTCTCCTAGGGCCTGAAAGCAGCATGCCAAACACCGCCTGCTTCTTACTAAAAAGAATTTTGGTACCTCACAAGCACAAAGACTGGTGGTTAACTTGTTTTCAGGTGAGATGTTGAGACTCGCTGAAATACTCAAAATGTAAACCTTCATTTGATGAGATCGTTCAAGTTTCATAATGTCACAGTAGTATTGAAGAGATGTAGTTCTCACCTTCAGAAAACTCTTTCAGAAAACTCTTTCAGTAGGCTAGAATTAATACTAGTCTGCATGCTCAAAAAAGACATTGTGAAAGAATGGAGACTGCTCATTGCCTTTCCATCTTGAAGCAGAAGGCTTCTCTTCCCAGGACTTCAAAAATATTCATAAGTGACCTCAGCAAGTTGAATATGGTGGGGTTTTTTAAAAGTTTAAAAAAAAAAAAAAACAAAAAACAAAAACCACAACAAAACAAAAAAAAAACCACACAAAACAAACAAAAAATAACAACAACAAAAAAACAAACCCAAACATAAAAGGGACATGCTAATTTAAAAGAGTTTAAATTAAAAATACAGTTCTGTGTGTTCAGTGCTCATGGCATGCTCTTCATATATGCTATTGCCAGATACCTGATGGCTAATCCCATGCTCACTTTTGACACCTCACAGAAGAGATTATTGGCCCTCAGTTTTAGCTCCAGAGTTTTTCAATCTGACATGCTCTTTCCTGGAAGACTTAAACATTTTTCAAGTAGAAATACTACAGAAATATTAAACCTCTGCTGTAGCTACCATCCCCACATGAAGCTGACTGAGGGTGATTGGTGTTTTAATGTTAAATATATGTGTTGCTCTCATGTGCTAGAATAAAACAAGGACTTGAAAGAATTTTATTACATTTGCAAAAAATAGGCAAGTGCTGTTTAGTGGAAAACAAGCAATAGGTTGGGATCATGTTGAGATAGAAGATGGGTGGGTTCCATTGGTTCATACTTTCCCAGGGTGGTGATGAAGTCCCGTGTTTAAAAACACTTCCAGTGTTTTAAGTAAGGAATGTTCTTGACAAGAGACAGATGAAATTGCATAATTGATATTTTCTGCTTTGTTTTGTTTTCTAAGCTAAGACTGCTTCTTTCCAAGCACAAGTGAGGATAGGATTTGCAAGCACTAAAATGTCAACAGTCGAACAAAGACTTGTTAAATCAGCTCTTTCTTTTCTCCTATTAGTATGGGCGTATTCTCTGCAGAAGTGTCTTTCTCCCCTGTAGCTTTGGATGTGCAAACATAACTTCCCACAAAAGATTGTTTGTGACCCCAAGTGCAGCTAGTGCTCTTTATCTTCATGTTAAAATTGTTTTTAAATCTGTATTTACTGATTGGTTGCTTCTGTGTACAAAATAGTTCTTTCTTTTGTCAACCAAGCACCTTCTTCTTCAAGTTCTTTAAAACCTGTTTCTTGCAGGAACCCAAGCAGCCTGGGTTTTTCTGTTGTTTGTTGGTTTTTTTTTTTTTTTTTTTTTTTTTTTGGTGTGTGTGTTTTTTTTGTTTTTTTTTTGTTTTTTTTTTAATACAGCATTCCTTTCAGCTGTTACTTTTTCTTGCATCTTTGCAGCTGGAAGGGGAGCAGTTTTAGGAAGAGAGAGTCTCAAGGCAAATTGAAATTTCTAGCACCTACAAAATTTTAGGTTTGAGTTACTCATATCTTTCTGCATGAAGAGTGCCCTGCATCCATGATTTTACAACCTTTTGCATTACTTTATATTCCTCTAGGAACGTGCTGGCCGTCACTGTGGGGCTCTGAGAGTCTTGAACTCGTATTGGGTGGGTGAAGACTCCACTTACAAGTTTTTTGAAGTGATTCTGATTGATCCCTTCCATAAGACCATCAGGCGCAACCCTGATACCCAGTGGATCACCAAGCCTGTCCACAAGCACAGAGAGATGCGTGGGCTGACGTCGGCTGGGCGGAAGAGTCGTGGTCTTGGCAAGGGCCACAAGTTCCATCACACCATTGGTGGTTCACGTCGTGCTGCCTGGAGAAGACGCAATACCCTGCAGCTGCACCGTTACCGTTAATTCTTGTAGACGTAACGATCTAATAA